GGCTCACGGGCCCAGCCGCTACGCGGCATGTGGGATCCTCCCAGACCGGGGCACGAACCCGTATCCCCCGCATCGGCAGGCGGACTCTCAACCACTGCGCCACCAGGGAGGCCCGGGGATGACTCTTTATAGTACCTCTTCTGAAGATGCTCTGGATCGCAACTTCATAGAGTACCACAGAAGAGGAATGATATCAAGTTTGGTGACACAAAGAGACTTGCTCTAAGTGTGTACTAGACTCAGAGAGACACCACACATCTAGAGAACTTCATGGACTATGCAGGGAAATGTACCATGAACTTCAAAGAATTTTAAAATCATTTCAGGAAGCCTAGGTAATGATAAGTGCATGGAGTTTATATTCAGACAATCAGTTCTAATCCCAGCTTTAATGTTTAGAGCTTTGAACAAGCTAATTTCTCCATCTTCTCATTTGGTAAGTGAGATTATCACCTATCTTTCACGGGTTAATTGTGAAACTTATGCAAGTTCACATACATAAAGCACTTAAACACTAAGTTAATAATAATGATAAACTGTAAGAAGAACCCAGCCAATTTATGTTGTGTGATTTTATTAGTGAACCTTCCCTCATATCTGAGGATCAGTATCCTTATTTGTTAAAGAGTTGAGACACCAAGGTCCCAAGAGGGGAAGCAATTAGCTTGGTGACTCACGGGGTCAAGCTAGACTTAGAACCCACTACATGTTCTCTTGTTTACTCCACTTCTCACAGAGCTTTGAAACAAGAGAGGGAATGGTTAGTACCACATCTCTGCCTCTACAGATGATTTTCAACCCACACTTGAAAGGCTTTCTGTTTAGTAATAAAAAATGTCAATTCCAAGCACACTCAAAGTTCAGCTGCTCAAACGCAGCTGGCAGCTTCTCCTGCACTTACTCAGATCTTGACATCGGATAGTGTTGAAGTCAAAGTTAATGCAGAGATAATCGCACGTATCTCTAAGGTCTGGGATAGAGATGCCATCAGGACAATTGATGATACCAGTTTTGTAATAATCCTATAAATAAATTAGGAAGAAGAAATGTAGGCAAAGAACAACATGAAAAATTCCCTCTTCAACCCCCTACTCATTCCTGGTTCTATTAAAGTGGTAGGTTACTAGAACTATCACCAAGTTGGTGACTCATTAAATAGCAAAGTGGCTCCTGGCCATCTTGACATGTTTAATCACAACTTGATACCTGACTGAGCTCACATGAGCAAGAATGACTTAAGAATTATAGAAACAGAAAATAAAGTGGGAAAGGCAATAACTAGAAATGAGAAACCCTAAAGTCAGAACACAGTCTGATGGAACTCTCAAGGCTTCTGACCATGCACGCCCCCAGAGAAGATGATGTAACAAGAAGGCCACTACACACCAGCACCGTTCGAAATACAGTTGCACTGATTCCTTCGGCAATCTCATACTCGCCCTTCTCATTGGGCCGTGTGAAGTTGTACTCTCTTCCTGGTCCAAACATCCTGAAAGACACCCAGGCAACAACGTTACCCGCTGCAGCAGGATTCTTCACAGATGAGACTTCTCCCTTCTTCACCTCATTCTGGAAGACTCCGTTCCACTCTTTCAGTGTAAGTTAAAAACACAGCACTAAGACTCAACCCCTATACGACACACTCAAGTCTTAGGAAACTCCCTTCAGATAGGAAAAGAGGGCAGCAATTGCTTTCAGTGTTTGAGTACAAGAGGAACAAAGCAGCAAGCCCTCACAGTCCACCATAGTGAGCTTCTGTGACAGCAAAGAAAGTAGAACAGCACCTGCAGAGGTGGCCCTTGGAAAGTGTCTGGAGGGCGTGACAGTCGCCTCTCACGCCCTCCGCAGCGCCCAGGAACCTGCCCACGCACTGGCAGCTCAGGAAGACAGCGTCTCCTCCTCCTCACCCATCAGCATGTACCTATCCAGCACACCATCCTTGATATTTCTGAGTTTTGCTTTTCAATATCTAATCTGATAGATGAATCTGTATTAGTAGGTGCAGATGTTACTGCTTTCCCTTTCCTGGTAGATTTTAATGGCGTAACTCTGGGGAAAATGCTCTTCGTCAATCCAAGGAGTAACTAATGACAGGAATTTCAGGTCAAGTAGAAAAGGAGGGTAGGTATTAGGATCATCAGCAATTTGACATACTTCAGAGGCAGGCCTGCTCTGGGCATGAATTCAGAGCTCATGAGGGCACAGGGAGGAAGTCTTGCTTTTACATTCATCTTTTCCCATCCTTCCTCTCTCTCTCAGATCCCCTCCAGTAAAACTGGCCCCATGACTTCTACTACTCCTGCTGCACGTCTGTGTAGGAGCTGTGGAAGGAGAAGCCAGGACAGGCAGGTGCTGGTACCTTCAGCTGGCCCACTGGGGACTCACTGCCTTTTCCTTCCTTAACCTGTTGGGAAGCCCTGCTGTCCAACTGTTCAAAACTGTTATCCTCCACCCTGAACTGGCTGTTTTCCAAGATCTGAAAAAGACTCACATGCTTTCCAAATCACTACACCACACATAAGAAATCCATTTAGATAAAAGCAGTCTTCAAAGGATGCTGACATTTTTCTGGAATGTTCCGGTTGAAGTGTAGCCGAGACAGCTATGGATCAAAATAGTGAACATGCCATAAATATAATCCCCCCTCAGAGTCATTCATCCAGTAGTGGCACGGATCTGCATTAATCCATTCTCAGCTTCTTACTTTGTCCCCCTTGTGACCAGTGGCCCACATTTGTAAGCTCACTGGCTAGGCTTATGAATACTTTACGTAGCCACAGGACAGAACAAACCTAAGAAACTCAGAATTCATGACCTCGGCTGACTCAGCTGATGAACCATGTAGATAAAGGGGTCTATTACCCAGAAAATGCTTGCTTTTCTTTTCTTGAGCGCTACTTTTGGAGGCAACCTACTTCAGACAGACAGCCTACCCTGAGGAATGCCTTTCTGGAAGGGCCTGGGGGGAAATGGTGGCGATACCAAGACTGAGGACATGAAGTCAAGTCTGATATAGGGCCAATTTAGAAAATGTTTTAATGTTCTATCTTAATTCAGATGTTTAAGAAATATATAGGTTTGGCTCTGGTTAAAAATGGTTCATCATGCATTTGTATGTATATGTTTAAGTACACACATATTTGAACAGCTAGATTCCACTTAGCCTAAAATTCAGCAAGTTAGTATGGTCCATTCTGATTTCTAATTCAGTTCAAATTAGCTCAAAGTCGGAGTGAGGTTAGATCCACTTTCAAGTACTAGATGAAATCCTCAAAAGCCAAATGTTTGTGTGTGTATCACTCAAATGATTTCACTCTTATCCCAATCTGCTCTTCATGTCAAGGTCTACAGTTGGCCAGAAAGAGATCTCCTAACTCCCAGCCCAGGCTCTAAAAGTACTTCCTGGACAGTGCTCCTCCTCAGTAGACTCCTTCCATTCCTGAACTCTAACCCTAAAAAGCTGGAGGCAGGAGATGGTGAGGGGAGGGTAAGACTATAGTCTGAACGAAGAACACAGATGAAGGAACACGAAGAATAAAGAGAGCAATCATCAAACAAAACAGCCAGATACAAAGATCCAGTTTCAGAAAACTTGAATAGTAGTGGAGCCATTAGAAATTGACACCATTTGGACCTTTTGCACTCCCTTTTGTAGGGGAGCTTATTTCACTATACTGGCTTTGTAAATGAAAGTACCCACCCCCCAAAATCACCAACACATATAAGGTTTTTATGTCCTCTGTCTCGCAAAAGTATGAAGGTAGAAAAATAAGCAATGAAATGTTTTTATGCTCAAATCTAATGCAAAGCAAATAGCAGGTATTTCTATTCACAGAGAACAGAGTGAATTTGGAAGGAAATTATTATCAATTACCTTCCCAACATGGTATCCGGATGAGCAGTGAAAATTTGTGGATTGACAACAAAACGTGTGCCATCTACGAGAAGTGTCACTTTCTCTGGTGCCTGAGAATGAATGTTACTGCCAAAGCCCACAGTGCTGCTTCCAAATCGTTCTGGAGCGATGAAGGGTTCATGGCTCCGTTTATTCCCACTTTGGAAGCAAGAGCCTTTGATGTCTTCAGGAAGTGGCATCATGTGAGGGAACTGAAGATTTGCTGGCTGAGAGGGAGAGTCAAGTGGAAGGTCTAAAAGATCATACAAACAAACCAAAATAACTTGACGCCCTGGGGAAAAATAAACCTTGTCCTCTTTAAAAAAAACAAGAACAAAAACCATTACACAAACAAAAAAACCCAAACTTTAAGTATGCTTACGCAAAAACTCTTGCCTAAAACACGTAAAGAAAAAACACAAACTAGAGACTCATACTGGATCCCCCTGAACTTTTTCGTGTGTGTGTGTGTGTGTGTGTGTGTGTGTGTGTATGTGTGTGTGCTGGGGAGGAGAGAATCAAGGCAGTAATGCCTACACTTTAAAATAGAACAACTGAACAATTTTAAAGTAAACTACACACATGGTTAAAAATAATTAAACACTAGAGAAGCATTTCTGTGGAAAACAAGCAATCCTCTGCCATACTGCTTAACCTTCCCTAGTCTTGTTTCACAGAGGCATCGCTTTTTTATTTCTGTTTTCACTTCTATCTCCAAATAACACTCATATTTCCTGTGTTTTATTTAAGGAACTTGATAACTCTGTTAGCCAAAACTATTTGTTTTCCACATTCTTAAAAAACGTTTCTAAATGTTATTTTCCAGAAAGGATAGTGATAGTCTCTAATTGTCACTTTTCCTAGAAATTCACTGAAAAATGCATTTTCACTACACATAGGAGAATCCTAACATTACCAACACCGTTTTTTGAACAGGCAGGTCTTGCTCTCAAAAGAAAAGTTCCAGTGCAGATGGTCCTGGATTAGAATTCATTCATGGAACCTGAGTTTTTGTCCTAGTATAACCAAAGAGCCATTTTCTTTAAGTAATTTATTTGATTTTTCTAAACCTGATTCATCATCTGTGAAATGAAAATAATGTTCACTCCACCTACCTCACAGGATTGGTTTGACTATCAACTGAAATAAAGTATGTGAGAGCACTTAAAAATGTATTAATACCACATCATGTAAAAAGGCTTAAAACTAAATATATGAAATCTGGATGTATATAGAAGAGAATCAGGGGAAAGTATTTTCAAAAGGATTACCAGAAGATTCTTTTTTTAATTGATGTTTTTATTATATAGCTGTACTTTTTTTTTAGAAGATTCTTTTAAATAGGGAGTTCTCCTGAAATATTAAAATAATGTTTTTTATTTAATGAAAAATTTCAAATATACCAAAGCAGAGTTACTACAATATGTATACATCACCTAGATTTGGCTAGCTAACATTTTCCTACATTGGAAAGAAAATGTTATAGATACAACTTAATGTCTCACTCCCACCCTTCATGTATTTTAAGTTTGTATACAATAATTCATTGGTAGCTTGAGTACACTCAATTTTTTCCCCATTGCTTCTAGAGAAAAGGAAACCAAAATCTAGACCAAAATCCTGTTTAGGGATCATATCCTAGAGCTTCTGATAAATTTTCAACTTACAAAGAGCTACGTTTCCACACAATCCATGGGCAAGCTTGTAGCAAGAAACGCTTTAATCACCAAGACAGGCTTTCAACACTCGAAGTGCTATTCTTAAAAATGAAAGTAGGCACCTAACTTATTCAGTTCTTTAGAGCAGTTGATTTTCCCCCAGCTATGACGCAATTAAATTGGGTTGATTCTTGAAGGATGCCTCAGATTCCACCCTGCTTAAATGGGTGAGTAGGAAAAGAGACTCATTGCATAAATTCTCCGTAATGGGGCACTCTAGGGTGGCAGTCACACTCTGTTTTTTTGTCCGTTGATATATATAAAATAACAGCGAACGCTGGCCGGAAAGGGAGAGGTTTAAATCCCACCCAGTCCCCTACCTCCTGGCAGTGTGAACCTGAGCAAGTTATGCCTAAGCTTTTGAAGCCTCAGTTTCTTCATCTGAAACAGGAGGATTAATCTAAGCAGGGATCAGCAAACTTTCTGTGAAAGGCTAAAAAGTAAATATTTTGAGCTTTGTGGGTCACAGTCTCTGCCACTATAGCAGGAAAGCAGCCATATAGACAGTATGTAAACAAATGGGCATGATGACTGTGTTTCAAAATTTTATTTACAAAAACAGGCAGTGGTTCAGATTTGACCAGTTTGCCACCCTTGATCTAAAAACAGTCAAGTTTCTAGCACAGTGAGTGCTCAATAAATGGTAATTGCTATTATTATTGTTGCTATTGTTTTCATTAAAAGTTAAAAAGAACCTGACAATTTACCAAGAGGCTTCACATCCATTAACTCAACAGTCTTCTAGCCTTGTGAGGTAAGAAGAATTATTAACAACCTTGTTTTCTAGATTAAGAAAGCAGGGCTCAGAAAGATTAAGGATCTCATCCATGGTTATAGCTGATAAGCAGCAGAGCTAGAATGTGAATCTGTCTTCTGGCTCCAAGCCTAAGACTATTTTTCTTATACCATTACCAAGTTAGATGTACTAAACTGATTAAATAAGTGGAGGTTTTTTGTGATAGATTTATATAACTGTGGTATATAAGCGAAGCAAATTAACTGGATATTTTATTTATTAAGAACATTTATGCCTTCTGGGCAGAATAGGTGCTGAGGAGTCAGAAAGCCCTCCAGATTTAGTCAAGATCTAATCATCGTACCATCATTCCTGGGACCTAGAGGATAAGTAAGATTTTGAACACCAGAAGAAGCCGGGCTATTTGCTTCTTTTTCTTGGGCTGCAGCTGAGGCTTCATCCATCAGGCAGCTGGCCTCCTGCCACAATAACCTGTCGGTCTCAGCGCCACGGTGAACATTCATCCTTGGACTGTGTATCCTGAACTGTCTGCTTGATCAGGAAGAAATCCTGGAAGACAGGAATATGCATGATTTAGAACTCTCTCCTAGAGGACTGACAGCTCTCATTCTTTTTTTTTTTTTTTTTGCGGTACGCGGGCCCCTCACTGTCGTGGCCTCTCCCGTTTGGGAGCCCAGGCTCCGG